CAGGAGGCACCAGTCGCCCATGCTCTCCCTTCCTCAGCTTTTGCTTCTTGCTCCCATGCTAGGGGAGCCCATGGCACGGTGCAGAGAGGGAGCTGAAGTGGGGGCTGCTATTGTGCATGTATGGTGCAGCAGTGTGCATTTATGTGGGAGGACTCCATGCAGTGGTGGTGTAGTGGTGAGGGGGTGTGGCCTGGGTCCAACATTTGTGTGGCCACCAGGGTGTTCAGCCTCTGACTGCTTAGAAATTGAACAGTCCTGTCCTACAGGAAGTCTCTAGAAGAAGTTCAAATCTCCTGCTAATACAGCTACTTGAACTATTCACTACACACAATCTGCTATATTTAGCCTTTCTTGGTTAGGAGGTTATTTAAAAAATATTTGTTATTCATGATTTTTTTTAAACAACCAGTTATGTGAACAAATTTCAGACAAATGATTGATTTTCAGCTGCAAGTTTCAACTATGCATCATTGATAGTGTATGATCAGTGACCTAATTTATGTGGCATCAGTTCTGCTCTCTGAACAGATGACAAAAGTTTAAAGCAAAAAAAATCCCCCAAAAGAATGTTTTTGTTTGCATGTGAATAGGGATTTGTGTACAAAAAGCTGTCATGTCCCAAATATTGAAAACAAAAATTTATTTGCATGAATGATCACAACTAGATAAAGAGGAATACCCATGGAGTTGGACCAACAGCATAATGGACAATGTGTCACTAGGTGGAGGTGAGCAGGGGACCAGCTTTGGGTGCTGACTTGAGGGGGTGCCAGAATGGAGCTCCTCCTAGAGCCTTTGCCATGGCAAGAGCAACTGTGCACCAATGGGCCAGGGGTGCTTCACACAAATAGCCTCCTGCCTCCAGGTCATGTACTGGCCCCTCTACCCCCCGCAAGGGAGTTTTGCCTAGGGCACAAAATTTGTTAGTTAGGCCTTTGTTACTGTATTATGAACAGCCTCATGTGAAACACGGGACTGGGCCTCATCTACAAAACCATCTTTCCTTTCTAAGATTGACTCATAGAAGATTTGAACCCATGTCTACCTGAAGAGGAAATATTCAACTATCTTACTAGTTAGCTTACTTGTTAGCAAGTCTTGATTTTAAAAAGGATATATTGCAATGGTTGGAAAAAGAAAGCATTTGTTTCATACTTACATACCCTATAAGATCATCACAGTTTTTAACAGGATACATATTAATTTAATATAAAATTCAATACCAAAGAACAAAACAAAACAAATGAAAAAGATCATGGATAACAATTTTCATTACTCCCCTCACTGTGAATACTATACAAGAACTATTTGATAGTTTTACACATCTTGTGCATTTTACTTGTAAAATACTTCCTCATACAAACATAGTTTCTTTGATATCAACTTGCCACTTAATATTTTTACTAGCTGAAATACAGGGGACATATGTTTTATCCCATCTTTTCTTCACTTTTTCTTGTACTAGGAAGATGAATTAATGATGCCATCTTAATTCTCATTATGGCTAAGCAATCATTTAGTAAGGAATGCTATGATTTTTCCTTCAGAAGGAGTTTGATTTTGCCAATTATTCTAATTATAAAATAGAGCTGTCTGTTTTTCTTTCAGAGTCAAACTCTCCCCGTCTCTGTGCTAAAAGACTAGTCATTGCACATGTCCATAAGTCACTCCTGTCCACATACACAGGGAATCTATCAACTTTCTCTGAAGAAAGGCGATTTACACTGTAGCAAACCACCCAGTTTTTCTTTTTTTTAATTTATTTTAAAATGTGTTCCCTCCCCTTCCCCAACCATTTCTGACTTTTTCTCTCCCTCTCTATTCCCTATAGATAAGTATAAGTAAACTAAGATGTAGGATAAGCTTTAACATTTTATTTTAGGTAGTAAGTTTTTTCTCTCCCCTCTTTGCAAATAAGTTCCCTGCTATTTTGATATTGATACCCACTGTTTTATAAGTGATAATTATTATGTTTATACTGCTTTTATATTGTGTGATTACTGTTTTAGGCCTATATGTGTAAGTTAGAGTAAGTCATGTTAAGTTTCCATTTTGTATGTCAAGCCTCCATCTTGTGTCCTCTGCCTGGGCATCCCCTGTGTTGCAACTGTATGATTCATGTACCCCTCCCATGTAAATTGCTTCCTGGATGAATGAGAGTGATTGGGAATGACTGAACTACAATAGTAGCAGTTCTCTACTGAATGGCCTGTAATGACCAGGCCATCACCTCGCATTATTCATCCAGGAACCACGGACCTCACCCAGAAACAGAGACAAGAACCCAGGATTTGAAAGACAAAAGACCCTGCAGAACCAGCAACTCTACCATTGTACCCCACCATTACAGACACCCGAAACTGCACATCCCTGCATGGAGCACACGTGCCCAG